CTCGATTTCTGGCTTATGCTTCACTGCTCACCACCAAACCTCCACCTTACTGCACCATTACAAACTTCACCTGCTCATAAGTTGCTTGTGAAATGCAGGTTGCAGTTTTGCTATCTATATTTGTAAATAACCTTATAGACTCTAGCGATCTACTCAGGTCTCCATTTGAAGTTCCATGGTAAGTTGGCGGCTTCCCTGCTTAGCGCAGAAGTGCTCTCTTTTGAAAAGCGAAAGCGATTGCAACTGTAGCTAGTAACTGTGTAACTATGTAGTGGTGATACTCGCAAACTAGGTGCGAAGTTATCTATGAATATTTGCTACTGCGTATACAGAATTACCGAGCTTCAGTCCATATTGCCTCGAATTGGATTTAGTTCGTGGAGGTTTCGCTGTTGTAGTGTGTGAGTTCTACTTTTTCAGCTCATTGTGGCGGAACTCCTCGATCACGCTTCATTCCATGTGTAAAAAGCTCCGCAGATGCATGGAACTATCTGAAACAACTTCTGCGAAAGGTAAGATCTCGGCTGGCGCCATTCCGTTGTGGATTTATCAGTAAGTTTACTACTTTGTCACTTACTCTGTTGTGTTTCAGCTGAAAATCTGTGAAAACTTCTATTCGAGCACCGGTGAGCCGTGTACAACGTGTACTCCTGCCAATGATCTGAACGTAGAGCAGAGTAAGTCTGTTTTGTGGTTGAATCTTTTTCTTTTGAGAAACACTTGAACGGGCGCTTTTGCGCTAGGCTTAGATCTTATTGCTATTGCGGTCCGATCCTCAGCTATCCAGTTGGAAAGGGTTTGTTGTTGTCACAAGAAAAGGAGGCGGTGTGGTGTAGTGGCAAGCGGCTCGCTTATCACGCACGGGGCAGGGTGGTCAAATCTCGGATCGGCTTCCGCTCAGGACAATGAAATCTTCTGTTCTTAGGGGACGGGAGATTGGCACCAGATTCGTCTGGAAAGATAGTTTACACTGAACTTTATATCGGCTGACCCCTCCAAGTCATAGTATAGGCCACATCGCATTCAATAAGCCACTACGATTCTGAATAGAAGTAGATATGTGTGCCGCACACCAAAAAGGGATTAGTTCAACAGCGAAGACTTCATCCTTTATCACTCTCTGTTGCAGTTGTTGCTTTTTCACCGCCGATGAAACAGTGGTCAATCGAGAAAGTGGCTAGCGAGCTAAGCAAGCTGCTCGATGAAACGGTTGTGTCGAAATTCGTTGAACAGGTAACAGTTTGAATCGTTATCTATGATTTGACCAATACGTCCAAACATCTTGTCTTGCACTGGGCTTTTGAAAATGATGTGTTTTCTTGTAGCAAATTGACGGACGCTCACTTGGATTGCTAACAACGGAACTACTTATGAACTATATGGGTTTAGCACTCGGACCAGCTCTTAAAGTGAGTTCCATTGTAGTGTTTATTTGTTCAAGTCGATACCCTGCATCTATGGATTTTCAATTTTCAAGTGCTCAAATTATTAATGCTTTTATTAGTTCGTTCAGTCCGGGAGATGGACAAGACAACCGTAATTTTTCGCGTCGTCGCGCGCGGCGTATTTGCGGCCATGCACACCAAGTTCTGGATATCCACCAGTTATCGATTGGACCAGCGAAAGTCATAGGAATTCAAGCAAAGGCCTCTATGACGGGCTACATGGAATTTTTCCGTCTTTTTGACACTTATTCAAATGGCCAGGTAGCACAACTTGCCTGGCGCGCGCGGCCTTGCTCGCCACGCCCACCAGCGCGGTATATTGCGATTGTCTTGTCTCCTACCCGTTCAGTCCTGGTGATAGTACAGTGGTCAATTTGAAAGCTAAACCGTGGTGGAAGTTTTTATTTGTGTTCTTTTTGGCGAAAGCACAGTCCACGTTGACTTTGTATGGGCCGGAACTGTCAACCACTGTGTCTTCATCACTCGCTACGGTCCCAGCCATGTTAATACTATACTACGTAAACTTTTGTGCATGGTTCTACCGCGAAAGGTAGCGTAAAGATAACTGCTTCTGGAGCATTGAAAGGTGCTACAGAAGAAGTGGCGAGTCGGGGCATGGGGTTTTTCAAGGGGAAGGGTCTCGAGGTGGTGACCCTTTGATCATTCTTGAAAAATCGGGGTTCTGTGAGTCACATACTGGTCATCGAATGTTTTGTAGATAAGAGAGCGGAGATCAACGCGATTAACAGGATTGAGTTGAAGGTGTTCGTAGCCCCGCCAATGGCAAAGACATAGATGGTTAGCTGCTTCCCTCCTCCCTAGTTTCAACGTG